TTCTACAATAGCTTATGCAATTTCTCGCGAAAATGACTGTCGATCGTTTCTCGATAACGACGCGCATAGAAAAACTCGAAAGGAAATGGAAACACTTTCCAAGAAATATGCCGATTTATGCGCATCGCCAGCGGTTTAGCATAATTTATGTGACTCGTTATTGCGGGCCTCGGAATGTTTCAACGGGTCAGGTTCACCGCTGCGCGTAAACGCGGCAACGTCGCCGGAGGCGTTAAACAGCGCACCTATTAGCGTTGTTCGTATCGAATATTAATCGGCTTTTAATGCACCGGCTATCCTTTTGTAATGCGGTGGATTGTTGCGAGCCGTATTTGGGACCGCACGGAATTCGGCACGTTTCAACGTGGACTCGTCGCGATATTAAGATTAACCAGATTGACCAGAAAAATGGACAATTCGGGAGGAGGAGATGCGATTATTCGAGCCTTGCGGTTCATTTTTATAGTTATAAACTGTCCACAATGATAAAAACGAGCCGCTAGGCTCGAGTAATCGTATCTCCTCTTCCAAAATTATCCATTCTAGTGGACAATCTAAGCGTCAGTAAGGGAGACATTACTGTATTCACGAAAATGGACAATTTAGGAAGAGAAGATGCGATTATTCGAGCCTTGCGGTTCATTTTTATAGTTATAAACTGTCCACAATGATAAAAACGAGCCGCTAGGCTCGAGTAATCGTATCTCCTCTTCCAAAATTATCCATTTTAGTGGGCAATCAGAGCGTCAGTAAGGGAGACATTACTGTGTAAACAAACGCGTCAGCTTTTACCTGCGCTCGATCTTTCCGATCGCGGAGGAAATGCCGAACAACGATTGCGAAAGCGTCGCTCCGTGTCTCTCGCTTTCTCCTCTCTCTCCTAAATCGTGTACAAGTATTTTTGAACGTTACCGTACCGCGCGCGCAGCAACGACAACGCAACGAGAGCACGGGAGCCGGCGACTTCCCGTTACCGTCGCGAAATAACAACTTCGCGGAGAATCGGGATCGCAGCCGAATTAATTGGAGTGCGGCAAAGGATACGGAAGACCTTAATCCAATAACTTTAAGCCGCGGAAACGCGGCTTAACATCGAACGTCCGGGTGGCACACGTACATCTCGCGTGTACGCCACACTCAATTTACAAGTTCTCTGCAAATTGTTCCGAACCACGATTCAGTCCGCAGGCAGACCCAANCCATTCTAGTGGACAATCTAAGCGTCAGTAAGGGAGACATTACTGTATTCACGAAAATGGACAATTTAGGAAGAGAAGATGCGATTATTCGAGCCTTGCGGTTCATTTTTATAGTTATAAACTGTCCACAATGATAAAAACGAGCCGCTAGGCTCGAGTAATCGTATCTCCTCTTCCAAAATTATCCATTCTAGTGGACAATCTAAGCGTCAGTAAGGGAGACATTACTGTATTCACGAAAATGGACAATTTAGGAAGAGAAGATGCGATTATTCGAGCCTTGCGGTTCATTTTTATAGTTATAAACTGTCCACAATGATAAAAACGAGCCGCTAGGCTCGAGTAATCGTATCTCCTCTTCCAAAATTATCCATTTTAGTGGGCAATCAGAGCGTCAGTAAGGGAGACATTACTGTGTAAACAAACGCGTCAGCTTTTACCTGCGCTCGATCTTTCCGATCGCGGAGGAAATGCCGAACAACGATTGCGAAAGCGTCGCTCCGTGTCTCTCGCTTTCTCCTCTCTCTCCTAAATCGTGTACAAGTATTTTTGAACGTTACCGTACCGCGCGCGCAGCAACGACAACGCAACGAGAGCACGGGAGCCGGCGACTTCCCGTTACCGTCGCGAAATAACAACTTCGCGGAGAATCGGGATCGCAGCCGAATTAATTGGAGTGCGGCAAAGGATACGGAAGACCTTAATCCAATAACTTTAAGCCGCGGAAACGCGGCTTAACATCGAACGTCCGGGTGGCACACGTACATCTCGCGTGTACGCCACACTCAATTTACAAGTTCTCTGCAAATTGTTCCGAACCACGATTCAGTCCGCAGGCAGACCCAAACGCTACTTGTCGCCGGTTTTTCCGAAATCCGCGGGAGCTCGCCAAATTGTGGCGAGCGACGCCAATGCGGCGATCGGGGAACAAGCGGGCCAGAAATCACGGGACGACTTCCTTTCTTCCCGCTCGCATCGGTCGACTCGACGGTCGCGGAACAAAAACAGTGGAACTCGGAGGACTTCGGACACACAGGCGACAAAGTGCAATCGCGTCACTCGTGATTATATATGACGAAGATATAGCAATCTTCTATATTTCCACCGAACGGCAGGGTCCATTTCGACCCGGAGCGTAAACCTTGTTCTTCGAGTGTCCGGTTTCTAAGAAACGATTGAAATTTTTACGCGGTTCGTTTAGGTTCGCGGAGTAACTAACGCGCCACAATATGACGAACGAAATTATAAATAATTATAAGTATACGCGGTTCGTATCGTTGTCGAAAAGATCCGCCGTTCGAGGGTTGAAAGGTGAAAAAAAGTGAAGCTCGGGGTAGAATTGGGTAAAAAACAATAATCCGCAACTAATTTATAACGACTAACGAGTTATAATCGTAAATCATGAATCAGATTACATTTTGCCTAATTACTTTGTTATTATAAATTATCACGAATTAGTTACAATAATTAACGAGTTATAATCGTTGATCGTTAATCGGATGACAGTAAATTCTCCCCAATTGTTGTTGTCGATCGGTAACTATAAAATCTATAATAATAAAGTATAATAAAGTATAATAAAGTAAAAATAATAAAGTATAAGTAATAAGTATAAAAGTATAAATGAAGTTATAAATAAAGTATAAATCGGTAGCTATATAAAAACGCGAGCCGCGAGACTCGACTAATCGTGTCTCCTCATCCCAAAGTGTCCATTTTTGCTTACAAGTCGAAGGACAATTGGAGAGAATTTACTATACTTCCTGCCCAACTCCGGCTAATCGAGATTAAACCACCAACGTTGTCATAATCCCGATTCATCCGACGTTCAAGCAAAAAAAATCACGCGATGCTACACACCTCCGTTAACCGTCGACAAGCTATCGGCGATCCGCACACGATGAAAAACAATCTGCAAACAATTCCAGAGCTGTTTGCAATCTTCGAGGAAGACACGAGAGTCAACAATCGTCCGATCGATCGGCAACGACGCGCGGAGATTCCTGGCGAACTATAAAACTCGCGAAATCCTCGCGACTCTGGTCGCTTAGAGTTTAGAAGAATGCCGACCGAACCGGTTGGGGGAAGAAAAGGTGACACAAGCCAGGGTCGCCAACCAGAAGAGGTCAGCGCTCGATGCCCGCGGAAATTCGTTCATCGATAAATATCGATAAAAGTAAATAATAATAATAATGGAAACTGAATAATGTAAAAATAAATGTCAAAAGTAAATAATGTAAACCGTAAAAGGTACGAACAGAGTTATCCATTTTGGGGTCCCGTGAAATTACAACGACATTGAAAAGCAAGCTATCGGTTTAGATAAATCGCGAAGATAAATCGCCGTGGTTCTGAAAAGCAGCGAATCTTTGCACAGGGAAGCAGATAAGAATCGGGGGTTGCAGCGAGCCGCGTCGCGTACCCTCTTCGACAATTGTCGCTAGAGTCGCTTGCGGAGACGCGCTTTTATAGAAAGATAATATAGTGATGTCTCCCTAATTGACGCTCAGATTGTGCACGAAAATGGACAATTTGGGAAGAGGAGCCTTGCGAATTCGAGCCTTGCGACTCGATCTTTTAGTTACTGATTTTCGACAATTATAAAAAACGAGCTGCAAGGCTCGAACAATTGTTTTTCCTCTTCTCAAATTGTCCATTTCCGTGGTCAATCTGAGCGTCAATTAGGGAGACATTACTGTACCACAATTTTTCTTTTTACGTAAAGAGCGTCGAATGAATTTTGCGAATATAATTACTGGACCGCGGATTTTATGCATTCATCGCAGCTGACGTAGTAAATAATTACGTAAATCGCAAATGGAAATTAACCCTTAGGGGACCAAAACTATTTATTTCCAGTTTACACACTGCCAAGTCCAGACTGCTTTTCAGACGAAGTGAAATTTTTTACTGAAAATTTCTGAAGGCGAAGATTAAGCTAAGTCTTCTAATTTAAATGTCTCCGAAGCAGATCAGGGTGGAAATTGAATAAAAATCTGTAAAAATCGCAACAATTAAAGACCGATCACACCCAATACAAACTGATGCAAACACACAGCGTCGAAGAAACTAAAATTCGAAGCGATCCCATACACCTCGATGTTCCCGCAGAATCGTCAAAGGAATCGGTTGCCAGGTAGCGAGCCCGATGTTTAAAAGGACGTAAGCCGGGGATCCGGGGCATCGACAATAGAACCTCATAGAATACAAAATCGCGGAGACCCGAGGATTCGAACGGCCGAAGCTGTACCGAGAGAGGAAATACATTTCCATTGAACTTGTTCCCCCGGCGGTGACCGTTCAGCATAGCCGAACCTTCCGCAAAGATGCGCGTGGCATGGACGCGAACGACTGTACGCAGCAACAGCCGAAGAAACGCAGCGTTTCCGTCCAGAAATAACTGCGTAGACCGGAGCGCGTGGCAACGAGAAGCGAGTGCTGCGGCACCTATCCAGCGACGACGGGCGGGGAGACGAAGGTTCTGGACGTTTCCAGAAAACGGCAGAAACGGCTTGGACCGCGAGCCGGCCGCGAAGATATCTGCCGATGCGGATTGCAGATGGTCGCAGCCTATCTCGCGGCTGCGTCGAAAGTGATCGCTCTCGGGAGCGGAGCTTAGCCAGTCCGGGAACGGACGGCGGGCCGAGGGGATCTCGAAGGAATTTCTAAAGTGCGAGGAATCGGCGTCTATATCGTTTACCGATCGCGTGGGCCTCGGCGAAATCTCGAGGTCTCTCTCTCGCGTTGGCGCCGTTTTTCCCCGGCACGGTCCTCGTTCCCCGGGGACTGAGCGCGATTTACCTTGGTCGACTTGAAGAGGGCTCGCCGAGAATGAATCGGCGACGGTAAGCGGCGATAATGCAGCTCGGCGAATCTATCCGGGCTGCAGGGGACCACCGATCTTCTGACTGGGGCCCCGTGAAACTCGTTTCTCGCACGACGACGACGACGACGATGCCCCTAAGGCTGCGGGATCCGCGTGAAATCGGCTCCCGGCTCTCCACACCGGACGACGTTCGACACGTTGCGGGCAGAAGGCCGTTTTACACTGACCCCCTGCCACTGGAACTTCTACGTATAACCATCGTCAACGTCCTGCCACGGTTGCCATGTTGCGTGGCTTCGTTCCCTTGTGTCTGTCGGTGTGACGGCCCTGTTCAAGCGCCTTCTTCTGCCTCTGTGTGCGAGCTCTGTGCTCTATAGTCTGCTCGACGCGACGGTACCACGACGACCGACGAGCGCTCTCGCGCGCGATCCTCGGTTCCCGATTCTCCTTCTATGTGTGTGTGTGTGTGTGTGTGTGTGCACGGTGCACGCGACCGACAAAGAACTGCATTCGAAAGCGAGGACGCTCCCGGGATACTCGGCTCTCCGGAACTTCGGCGCGATCGCCGCCAATTGTTCGATCGGCAGGACGCCGGCGGTCCGGTGCTTGGGTCCCCGGGGACTCGGGACTGATCTCCGGAGGATAACGGCCGCTGCGCGAAATTTGTCGGTTCGTAGAGCGAATCGTTTTCCGCGCAGGCTGCTCGTTTCATCCTCGGCGAATCTTGTCGATTTAGAAGAGCGAGGTTAAGAATACACAGGCTGTCCAAAAATTATGGTATTTCCGGGGAATGAGGGGTTCCTGAGGCGATTTGCAGTAACTTTTTCCTTTACAAAAATTTTTTCCGAGGCACCGTTTACGAGTTATCGAGGGAAAACGATGACCAATGAGAGGCGAGCGCGGCTGGCCAGAGGCGGCCGAGCCAATGAGCGGGACTGGGCTTCGCGCGCTCGTTGGCTGGGCCGCCACGCGTCAGTCGAGCTCGCCTCTCATTGGTCAGTGTTTTTCGTTGATAACTCGTTAACGATGCATCGGAGAACATTTTTGAAAAGGAAAAAGTTGCTTCGAATCACCTCAGTAATCTCTAATTTCCCGGAAGTGCCATGATTTTGAGACACCCTGTATATCATGATTCGTGCTTTCTTCTTCTGTCCAGATCATTTTCTTTTTCAGGTATCTTCGGTCGCGGCGCGAAATTTATCGGTTCATAGAGCGAATCGTTTTCTAGTTGTATGTTTTATCCTCGGCGTTCTTGCCGATTTAGGCAAACTGTGGGCGTTTAGGGACAACTGTGCTTAAGTTCGAAGCTGGAAATATCATTATCCACGTTTTCCTCTTTTATCGAGATCATCTTCTTTCCCAATTTGTATCGAAGGTCACCGTTGTTTCGGCCACGTTGACCTCAATTTTTCGTAACGCCGCGTTTTGGCGCGGGTCAAGACGAATTCGACGACCTTTGAACGACCTTTGAACGCTCTTGAATGAAAAGATCCGATAACTTTATTTCCCGGACAATGGGCCAGAAAGAATAACTTCGAGAGAAAATACTCATGCGTAATAAATTGACTTGTAATAAACTTCCGATTGTTGATCGTCGATCAAACTACCTTCAATCCAATTATAATATTATAAATTAGTAGCAACGACGAGCGAGTTGTAATTGCTAATAGCTGGTCGGATCCAATGTTGCGAATCCACGAACGATCGATCGGACTGCTATCTTGGGCCTTCATCGAGCGTACCAATTTGAGAAGAAAATGTTTAGCTCGGTGTATAGATAATTTGTCGGAGCAGCCAGCGGAGAGAGAGAGAGAGAGAGAGAGAGAGAGAGAGAGAGACCGTTTGCACGAAGTCGGTTGATAATCGGGGCGGCACGTGCAATTATCCACTTACGCGATTGCATAATCTGGATAGAGAATCGGCGGGCGGCGGACGGGTGCACGAGATCGAATGGAAAAAGCGCGGCGCCGATACCTGAGAAAATAATCGTTCGAGGAGCTAATAAATTCGACCCGATCGTGCGATCCGTCGCCGATAAAGGCGCGCGGCCGCGGCCGCGGCCGAGCCAGCGTGGCGCAATCGATTCTCGGAGGCCTATTACCATCGCCGCGGTCTCGGCGTTCCAGGAAAGAAGGCGTCGTTTTGTCGAAAAAAAAGAAGAAAAAACGGCGCCGTCCGATAATCGGCGAGTCGCGAATTCGGCAGTTCGCAGGCCTGCATTCGCGTGCAATTATACAGGATGTCCCAAAAATGTCTCGCAATCCGGAAATGTCGGGTTCCTCGGATCATTTGGAGCAACTTCTTCCTTTACAAAAATGTTCTCCGAGATACCGTTAACGAGTTATCAACGAAAAACAGTGACCAATAAGAATCGAGTACGGCTGACGCGAGGCGGCCCAGCCAACCAGCGCGCGAAGCCCAGTTCCGTTCATTGACTCGGTCGCCTCGCGCCAGCCGAGCTCGCCACTCATTGGTCGCCGTTTTTCGTTGATAACTCGTTAACGGTGCCTTGGAGAAAATTTCTGTAAAGGAAAAAGTTGCTTCGAATGACCCGAGGNTCAAGACGAATTCGACGACCTTTGAACGACCTTTGAACGCTCTTGAATGAAAAGATCCGATAACTTTATTTCCCGGACAATGGGCCAGAAAGAATAACTTCGAGAGAAAATACTCATGCGTAATAAATTGACTTGTAATAAACTTCCGATTGTTGATCGTCGATCAAACTACCTTCAATCCAATTATAATATTATAAATTAGTAGCAACGACGAGCGAGTTGTAATTGCTAATAGCTGGTCGGATCCAATGTTGCGAATCCACGAACGATCGATCGGACTGCTATCTTGGGCCTTCATCGAGCGTACCAATTTGAGAAGAAAATGTTTAGCTCGGTGTATAGATAATTTGTCGGAGCAGCCAGCGGAGAGAGAGAGAGAGAGAGAGAGAGAGAGAGAGAGAGACCGTTTGCACGAAGTCGGTTGATAATCGGGGCGGCACGTGCAATTATCCACTTACGCGATTGCATAATCTGGATAGAGAATCGGCGGGCGGCGGACGGGTGCACGAGATCGAATGGAAAAAGCGCGGCGCCGATACCTGAGAAAATAATCGTTCGAGGAGCTAATAAATTCGACCCGATCGTGCGATCCGTCGCCGATAAAGGCGCGCGGCCGCGGCCGCGGCCGAGCCAGCGTGGCGCAATCGATTCTCGGAGGCCTATTACCATCGCCGCGGTCTCGGCGTTCCAGGAAAGAAGGCGTCGTTTTGTCGAAAAAAAAGAAGAAAAAACGGCGCCGTCCGATAATCGGCGAGTCGCGAATTCGGCAGTTCGCAGGCCTGCATTCGCGTGCAATTATACAGGATGTCCCAAAAATGTCTCGCAATCCGGAAATGTCGGGTTCCTCGGATCATTTGGAGCAACTTCTTCCTTTACAAAAATGTTCTCCGAGATACCGTTAACGAGTTATCAACGAAAAACAGTGACCAATAAGAATCGAGTACGGCTGACGCGAGGCGGCCCAGCCAACCAGCGCGCGAAGCCCAGTTCCGTTCATTGACTCGGTCGCCTCGCGCCAGCCGAGCTCGCCACTCATTGGTCGCCGTTTTTCGTTGATAACTCGTTAACGGTGCCTTGGAGAAAATTTCTGTAAAGGAAAAAGTTGCTTCGAATGACCCGAGGAACCCGCCACTTTCGGATTGCGAGACATGTTTGGGACACCCTGTATAACGCAAGCTGGCGTCGTCGGATTGCATTCCGGCCGGGAGCAGAAACGAGAAGCGACCGATTCTCGTTCTGGCCTCGCGATTACGATGATTTATAAGGAATCGTCGCGAGGAACGCGGCGTCGTCACGGCGTTTCGTGCGTGTCCGATCGTAATCGTTTCGGTACGTGCGCGCGTAACGACGTCTCGTTCCGTGCGCGAAACCAATGTCGCATCGATCGCGACAACAGTTTTCAAAACGCACCGTCTTATCGCCTCGAACGATTAGGCGTCCTTTTCTATAGCACTGCCGGAATCGTTAACGTTTCACGTTGTTGCGAATTGTGCGAGAGGTACAGTACACGCTCGCGAACGTTCCCGAGAAATCGAACGAAAGCGTACGTTCGCCTGTAAGTCTCTGCGATCGTAGACGAAGATAAAAATTGCAAATTGTTGTTGCGGCGGTTTCGCGCGTTTATGAGAAAATTCGGCGGATGAAAAGCGAAACAGTGTTACCGTTAGAAAAATTTTTAAATACGATTATATTATCTGTATCGAATTATATTTGGTCGTGGGAATAACTTTTGATACTTTTCACTGTTTCAACTTTCAGATCAGAATTTTTATTTCATTAAAGAAGGTATAAAATATGCTCTCTCTTTACGAGATGTTTGCGTTCACTGACACGATTCAACTTGGTAAAAAAAGAGTAACGATTAGAAAAGACAAAATGCATTATCACATGCCTTCTCACTGTTAAATCGTATCGAGCGATAAATAAAGAACTATCCGCTAGATCGATTTCCGTATTCAACCTATTTATCGAAATCGAACAATTCGTGAGTCGTCGAAATGATTCAAGAGCGGACTAAATGTTCAGGCAGTTTCCGTTTCATGCGACCGACGCAAGAACTTTTCATTTGGCACGAACTGTCCGCAGTCCGGTAACAATAATCGTGCCGTAAAACGAAAATGTTCTGCATCGATCGCGTTCGGCCGTCGTCGAATATACAGAGCTTCTCGAATCGTTTTAATCTTTCTACCGGCTGAAATTTCGCTCGCTCATGTTCATCGTTGATACGTATGAAATCTACACGGTCTATCGATTACGTAAAAATATGCTTTCCGTCGAAATAACTTCTCCAGCTGCACAAGGCCGTACGCTTCGGCTTCTTTCGCGTGCAACGTTATCAACAATGCCGCGATATTAACGTTTCTCGTGCCGAGAAAGCGATACATTTACCGTGACTAAATACAGCACGATACAGGCGAATATCTCACGTGTTTCCTACTGCAAAAACTTGAAACATTCGGCGCGCACCGCGCCGAAGATACGCATGTGTGCGCGCACGCGCGCGTATGTGTGTGTGCGTGATATGTATGCGTTGGTAGACAGCGGACGCGTACGCGCAAACACGCGGGTCACTGTAATCGAAAATACGAACAGAGAAACCAGGAAAAAATAATGACTCGGTCGCGAACGCTCGAGCGCAAATATAGATTTTCGTGTATTAAT